TAGGTATTGGAAAATAAGCAAGAAGAGCTAGGATAGTTCCTGGAAGGAAGGGCCTTCTATTAAAGGCCACCATTTAACAGGGTGGCGCAGGGCTGCATTTGGCATCCAGGGCTCTGTTCCAGCTGTAAAGAGGCCAAATCCCAAGAGAAGCAGAGGCTGTGACCTAAGGAAAGTTAGAGATCATCTAGTTCAACTGTCTTCGTTTCCAAATTCAGAACCAGAGACCCAGAGAGGTACTGGCTTGCTCCAAGTGATATCATCAGTGGGTGGTTGACTCCACATCTAAAGCTATGTCAATTATACCAAGTGCTCCAAAGTTTGGTCAAGAAATAGCAGACCCTTCTTGGGCATGATGATGGTGATGTTGCCAATGCTACTGATAATGAGAGTGAAAACAAGATGGTGGTGGTGCTGATGATACCAGCTAACTTTTTTTGAGTATAATTTAAATTCTAGACACTCAAATGCTTTGTAACAATCCCCTTGATTATTCCTCTCAAAAACGAAACAAACAAACAAAAAAAGAAAGTTAGGTACAACCATCACCACCATTTCTGATTAAAGGAGAACCTTTCAGGGTCTCGTAATCTGTAGATGACAAAGTGGTTCCCAGCCCAGGCAGTCTGACTTCTGGGCTGGAACTCTTCATCACAGGCTGCGCTGGAGACTCAAATGTCAGGGGAAGGGGACAGGGCCAAGTGGGAGCTCAGCCCCATCCCAGTCAGGTTGTGCTTACTCTTAGGTTTTTCCATCTTATTGCAGATGCACAGCATGGGTGTGGCTTAGAACTTGACACCATCTGATGCCCATGTGGATTCTGCGTGGTTTCAAGTCAGGTGGAGAGAGCTCGAAGCCACAGTAAGCGTGTGGTAGACTGACTTGTGAGTTACTGGACGACTATCCCTGCAATAATTTCTCTTAAAGACAACTTTAATTTTCCTGTACCTAAGGAAAGAGTCCTTCTGTAAACAGTACAACATTTTGCCCTCTCTCAGGTATGGAAAAACCATTACCACGGCGGGGGGCGGAGGGGGGAAGTAGTGCTTGAGCCAAGAGATACTGAATAATCTGCTTCACATCAACGAAAATGAAAGCAATCCATGACCTCAATTTCTCTGCTAAAGAGATGCTACTAGTTAATGGATGGTAATAATACAGATTACGAGATGGCTAGATCTAGGACTCTACTGTCTGTGTACAACAAGGAAATGGAGCTTGTTCCTTCTAGAGGCAGAACTCTAGAGTAGAGTTCTGAAGTCGGAGTACTGAGCTCACATTCCAGCTCTGTCATTCAATCATCTACTGTGCGCTTCACCGATACTCGTATTAAGCATTCTGAAATTTAAAAAGTATGGTCAAGGATTCATGTCAAAATTAACCAATTTATCATATTTTAGTGGTATGATGAACATCCTCAGGAAAATAAAGCAACAATTCCCAGTACATGTAAATTTTATGTGTGAGACAACAATCTGAAACGCTGTGTTATGTACGCACAGAGAACTCTATCTGTCTTCCAAGGATAAAAATTACATGATTTGCAAAGAAGCATAGATATTACCCAAAAGGATACACACAGTGCCCAGAGGACTTTCTATCTCAAAGTAACATCTGTTTTTAAGGTTTTCAGAGGGAAATAAGTGAAGCAAATCTATCTGATATGTGAAAAGTTAGAATTTCTTGTGTCAAACATTGAAACTCAAAGATAAAAAAAAACACATAGATACTCTGAGTGAAAAACAGGTTACATACATAGGACATCAAAACATTTAAAACAAAAATCAAAACATGGAAATAACCAAGAAGGGTTAACCTTTTAAGCTTCCTTCATTTGATTCTAGATACAGGGTTTTAAGAAGACATAACTGATAGAAATCACAAAATGGCAGCTCACAGCTCAAATCATTTGCAGAAATGTTTGTTGGGTTTTTTTTGTTTGTTTGTTTGTTTGTTTTGCTTGCAGAGCTTTTTTCAAAAATCAAGTTACCAAATCACATTTCATTTTTTTTTTTCAAAACCTAAGTTTATTTCTGCTAAAAAAAAAAAATGCCTAGCAAAGTGCTGGAGCTCAGGAATTGCTGTCCTCTTCACAGAAGGGTTTCTAGTTTGCCAGCTTACCTTATTTATTTACATTACCAGCCTGCCCCCTGTAGACAAGCAAGTTCATAACCCCTTACCTATTGCCAAACAGATCCAAGCAGACAAGATCCAAGCAAGAAGGGAATGCCTGATTGGGCTACATTAGAGAGGTTCATTTGTTTGTTTGTTCATTTGTTCATTCATTCACTGATTCAACAATTACATGCTGAGTATCTGAAAAGTGCCAGATACTGAGCTCCTATAAGAATGTAAGTATTTGGACTTCTCATCAAGGTGACAGGCAACCATGGATCTCGATGTCTATCAAAATGTATGTAAGAGAGAGAGTTGAGGACAAAACAGTGATGAATTTTAGGAAATCGAATGAGAAATTCTAAGAAGTGCTAACAGTTGCAAGGGACCCAAAGGAAGGAGAATTTGAAGAAAGAAAGGGTGGGGGTGCCTGGGTGGCTCAGTCAGTTAAGCGCCTGCCTTTGGCTCTGGTCATGATCCCAGGGTCCTGGGATTGAGCCCAGAGTGGGGCTCCCTGCTCAGTAGGGAGTCTGCTTCTCCCTCTGCCCCTACCCCCTGCTTGTGTGCTCTCTCTCTCTCTTTCAAATGAAGGAAGGAAGGAGGGAAGGAAGGAAGGAAGGAAGGAAGGAAGGAAGGAAGGAAGGAAGGAAGGAAGGAAGGAAGGAAGGGGTGGTCAGCAGGGTAAAACTGTGGCTGAGAAGAAGAAGACAGAAAAGGAAGGGCAGTCTCTGTTGCAAGTTGCAAATCCCCAGTGACATTTCAGAGGGTACTTAGAGTAGGCTGGTAAGGCCAAGGGGAGCAGCGAGAATATAAGGGCAGAGGGCACAAGAAAGACCGACATTGCTGGGGGAAGGATGGGGCCCCAGGGAAAACGGGGGAGTGGGAAGGTGGGGGCAGGGAGGGTGGAGTGAGGAGCCAGCCAGAGCAGAGTACCGAGCATGTACAAGAGAGAGTTGGGGCACCAGACACTTCACGGGAATAGCCATATGCCAGGATGAATTCAATCTAGATGGAACACCATTATATTCTGATACCAGAGAAAAGCTGGTAACTTTTCCATGAACTATATACTCACGGTCACTTCTTAAGAACTTCTAGACACATTCTAGGAAGGGGTTTTCACCATAAAAGCTTTCTTTAATAGGCACCAAAATTCAGTGGCAATAAGCTACAAAAGAAAATCTGTCCATTTTCAATCATGTTTTATTTTCTGGCGTTCCACTTGTGATCTCAATTAGAAATGACTGAAAATATTTGTTTCTTTGGCTTTGTTGGAAATGACATTTTTCACACAGGCAGTTAATCTTGGACCAATGGAATCAGGAGGCATTATTCTCTAGAATCCTCTATGTATAATCAAGGGAAAGAAATATTCAAGTACAAATGATAGGTCTGTGTGCTTTATACTAAAAAGATAATGTTTATTTTTATTCTTTCGTGAATGTAAAGTGAACATGGTATTTCTTCCACCGTTGCCATAGAAAAAAATCTAATGGCAAGTACATGATCATCAGATAAGGATCAAATGAACTAAGCAGAAGAAAAGAAGAAAGTGAAATGCTTTTAGCTCTGAATGTTCATAAGATAATTTAGAATACGTAAGATGGCTTATCAGGATCTCTGTTTCATTTCTGTAGCTGTGAAAGGGTAAGAAAGAAAAAAAACCCTGCTATCTGATTGTGGCTTAAAAATTAAAACTCCCTAAATGATTTCTTCATAGTAATTTCAAACAAAATGCTTATAATCTAATTTTTAAATGAAAGTGTAACGGAAACAAAACTGACTTCCAAATATTTTAGGCATAAATTATATCCTATTGCTATTCTTCTCTAGCAGACCCTCTGACACCTGGATTTTGACACACATATAAATGTATATTGGTTATCTCTGATTCAAGTAGATGTATATACACACACGGCACTGAGTTCTGAAGAGTCTCATCAATCTATACAGTGATAACTGAGACGTGTCGCTTACTGGAAAAGAAGAAGCGAATACCCAAATAGAGCTGTCGTATTTGTCATGTGTTCTGCAGTATGTGCAGTTCAAAGTCAACTGGGTGCCTCTTCCATAGTATGTGGGAGGAAATCCCAAGTGCTTGCTTCTCAAGGATTTACTTTACAAGTAGAATTCAGGGACCTTTTACAGCACGCGTCTCTGGGTCCAGCCCTTGGAGCCCATCCATGGGAGTCTGCACGTGCATGATCTCCACCTCTACCACCCGCAGTGACAACCGCCGCCCAGACATGAAGCCCAGCAAGACTCCATCGCCTTCGGTGTGTATAGTCAGTTCAGGGATTTCAAAATTCTCAACCAATCGTCCTCCTAAGATTAGGAGCAAAACTGCCGCACGAAATAAGCTTAGCAGAGACTTTCCCCTCTTTTAGAGTCCTTATAGAGAGTGTAGAAAAGGAGCACTGAGCCAAGAAATTTCCCCATTAATATACAAATGATACTACACAAGTTCATCAATTAATCCTAAAGCCTATATAAATGCATGACAAGTCTGCCTGGAAATAAATAAAAATGGTCATCAAGGGTCTGTGTCCAATCGTAGGATCAACAGTAAATAAAGAGCCTGTTTTGGGCGCCTGGGTGGCTCAGTTGGTTAAGCGACTGCCTTCGGCTCAGGTCATGATCCTGGGGTCCCGGGATCGAGTCCCGCATCGGGCTCCCTGCTCAGCGGGGAGTCTGCTTCTCCCTCTGACTCTCTTCCCTCTCGTGCTCTCTCTCTATCTCATTCTCTCTCTCAAATAAATAAATAAAATCTATAAAAAAAAAAAAATTTAGAAAAAAAAAAAAGAGCCTGTTTTGCTCGGAGCTCAGTATGTGAGATGGGAATTTATGCAGCACACAGACAAAAACTGTGTAACATGTCATCTACTCACCCCTGCAAGGCTTTCTCTCCAAACCAATCTCCTTTCCCTAAAGTTCGAAGAAAGACCGGGTCTTCACTGGGTGAGTCTTCCCGAGTGACATTTACCTACAAAGAGAAACAAAGTCTATATCCACTGCACACGCTGACTGATCAGATCAACACTAATTGGTAATGTTAATTCCATTTCTTGTTTCTTCTTTTAAACTTACTTTCATGAAGACCATGAGGACATTATTACTGGAAGGACCAAAGAAGAAAATCACAAATTTTCATACAAACCACAAGAAATGCCCTCCAATATTGTTATGCTGTTTCAAGGTGTTTTCAAGTAGTCATAAATTACTCAGAAATTTGAATTTCACTTAATCCTCATTCCGACCTCCTATGAGGCAAGCACTATAATGAATCAAGTGAGCATTCCTATCCATCCAACTCCTTATAGATGGATGTTTAAATTGTTTCCATTCTTTTCCGCAGTGAGCATCTTTCTACGTACCTCGCATGCATGTCCTCATTCCTCTAAGACAATGCCTGTCTCTTTTTCCTAAGAATCCAGCCTCCATTCAAAGGCTGTTCACGTGTTCATGAAGTCCTTCCTACAGGTCTAACCCACGACAGTCCGACATGCGTCATTCAGAAGGATTTCATTTTTTAAAGATCTAAGAACTGCATGTATATCTTTTCCCTTCTTTATCGTAGGAGTGTGCTCTTCAAAGACGTGGATTTATCTTTGACATTCTCTACAATTTATAATAAGCACCTAAAAAAGCTGTAAGTTGTTGGAACAGAAAAGCTTTATTACCCAAACAAGGTATCTGGGCCCATAAGGACTTTTGACTTGGGTGACAGTCCACGGAAGGAAAGTAATAATGTTTTTGTTGCATGAATGAAGAATAAATTCAGTAAGTTGTACCTTTGTGTTAATTCACTTCCCCTTCAAGTTCTACTAATATTCATAATACCGGCTATGTTTCCTCTAGAATGGTTAAATAGTTAAAACTCATCTACCTGGAAAATGTAATGAAGTAGAAAAAACTAATTTCTTAAGACAATGCCAGACACTTTAGCACATTTAAAAATACTATGCTTCAGGTTTCTGAGTTTAGAGAATGGATGACAAAGACCAGACTTTTTATAAGCATTCAGAATGTATGTGCAAGGTGGAGGGAATTCAATTATTATTCTCCACTGATCCATTTGATTACTTTTCCACACTGTGTTTCAAACCATGGGTGTGCAGTTTTTAACCCTCTTATGCCAAGCTATATCATAGAGATGCTCATTTGCATGCTGATGAGGCTTTTAGAGATGTGGGCAGAAATACACTAGCCCACTGATTTTCAAACTTCAGGGTAAGGGGTCTTATTTAAAATAAAGGCTACTGAACTTCTTACTTGATACATCTCCTGAGGCTAGGAAAACAAAAGCAAAAATGAACTATTGGGACTTCATCAAGATAAAGAGCTTCTGCACAGTGAAGGAAACAATCGACACAACTAAAAGGCAACCTTCAGAATGGGAGAAGATATTTGCAAATGACCTATCCGATAAAGGGTAAGTGTCCAAAATATATAAAAAAAAATTGATGCAACTCAACACCCAAAAAACCAATAATCCAGTTAAAACATGGGCAGAAGACATGAACAGTTTTCCAAAGAGGACGGATGCCCAAGAGACACATGAAAAGATGCTCAACATCACTCGTCAGGGAAATACAAATCCAAACGACAATGAGATATCACCTCCCACCTGTCAGAATGGCTAGCATCAACAACACAAGAAACAACAGGTATTGGCGAGAATGTGGAGAAAGGGGACCCTCTTGCACTGTTGGTGGGAATGCAAACTGGTAGAGCCGCTCTGGAGAACGGTATGGAGGTTCCTCAAAAAGTTAAAAATAGAACCACCCTACGACCCAGCAATTGCACTACTAGGTATTTACCCAAAAGATACAAAAATACTAATTCAGAGGTAAATGATGCACCCCAATACTTAGAGCAGCATTATCAACAAGTCAAATTATGGAAAGAGCCCCAATATCCATCGATTAACGAATGGATAAAGAAGATGTGGTGTACATATACAACAGAATATTCCTCAGCCATCAAAATGAATGGAATCTTCCCGTCTGCAATGATGCAGATGGAGCTAGAGCGTATTATGCTAAGCTAAAATCTGTCAGAGAAAAACAAATACCATTTGATTTCACTCCTAGGTGGAATTTAAGAAAAAAAAAAAAAACAGATGAACAAGGGGGTTAAAGAGAGAGGCAAACCATAAAAGAGACTCTTAATGATAGAAAACTGGGGGTTGCTGGAGGGGAGGTGGGTAGGTGATGTGTTAAATGGGTGATGGGTATTAACGAGGGCACTTGTTGGAATGGGTGCATATGTAAGTGATGAATCACTAAATCCTAAACGTGAAACTAATATTACACTATGTTAACTAACTAGAATTGAAACAAAAACTTGGAAGAAAAATATAAAGGAGACTCTTATTCTTGAAGTTCTACTATAGTGGGACTGGGAAATCTGTATCTGAAAGATTAATATAGGTGATTTAGATGCAAATGTTTTGTAGACCAAACTCTGACACACATCAATTCATTGTTTTATTTCTGGGCTTCAGTTTCCTCATCTGTGCTATGAGGCAACCCAACAAGATTATTTGTCATTCCTTACTCCAAAAAAAAAGTCATGAACTGAGGTGCAATATACTGTAAGATCATGAATTCAAAATTGGATATAAGGATACATTATATAATTGTACATTTGCCATCTGGTTACCAACAACAAAAATGATTAGAAATTCCAAACGGCAGACCTCCTTATGCAAGGCATGGGGAGATTTCAGCGGCTTCGGAAATAGTCTTTACAAAGATATTATTGAAATACAGTAACAGAGCCATAAAAAGTGGGCCACCTATCGAATAGACCACTTTCTGCTTACATGACGAGTGCGAAGGAAAACCTATCTGGATAATCCATGTATGTGAAAAGATAAGCAGTTCAAAGAGCAAGAATAAAAGGTTTCCTTTAAGGTTGTAATTTCCACACTGTTTCTTTGTACATATAATGAATCATTCTAAATATGCACAGACACCTGGCATGGACATTTGCATCTTTAATTCCAAAAAAATGTCAGGGTAGAGAAGTTACGTACAGAGAGCCTCTCTGACCTTGGCCTATATTACTTATTCTTTCCCTGACCACAGGGTACTTTATGATCCACAATGCTATGGGAAAGAACTAGCTATGGAGCCTTAAAGAGAATACTTGGTCTGTTTGAACCACTGTTACCTCATCACCTTGTCCAAAAAACGGGAGAGTTATCGCAAAAGAGGTTGTATGTGTGCACAAATTAAATGAGAAAAATCTATGAAAACCATCCTCTTAAGAATAAGTGCTTGGGGCGTGTGGGTGGCTCAGCCGGTTGAGCATCTGACTCTTGACTTTAGCTCAGGTCGCGATCTCAGGGTCATGAGATCGAACCCTGAGTTGGGCTGCCCACTCAGCAGGGAGCCTGCTTGATTTTCTCTCTCTCCTTTTGCCTCTGCCCCTCCCCCTGCTTGTGTGCATTACCTCAAAAACAATACATCTCTACAAAAAAATAGTAAGTGCTCAAAAAAGCTGGTTACTTCTTCTATATTCCCCCCCCCCCCCCCCCCGCTTTCTTCTACTTCCCTCACCTACTTTGGAAATTCATGCATTTCATTGTAAAAGAAATATCCCCTATCACTATTAGTGCTCTCCCATTGTTCCTATAAATGCTATTTAGAGCATAAACTTCTTTTCCTTAAGACAGATAAAGGAGAGTGTGTATTCTTATGTCTTTTTTACTTATCTATATGTTAACTTTTTTTCTGTAAGACGTGTGTAGTCTGTAATTTGAGTTTTTTAAAACTATTTTTAATTATACGTATAATTTAAAAAATTAACATCAAAATAAAAATTATATCTTTTTAAAAGGACGTATGAAATTGATCTTTGATACCAAAGTCTTCAATAAACAAAATCAATGTGCACAACCAACATGTTTAATCAAAAACGATTCAAAAGAAAAGAAAATGTTTTAGTACAGATTCAGCGGATTTTATAAACAAAGCAATGTTTATTGTAAAAAAAAAAGCCTGGAATTTACAGATTTACGGGGAAGACCCAACTAGAAAATGAGGGTGAGGTAATCATTTTCCTACCTGTGTGACTATTAGATTACAAAACCCAAGGAGTCCCCAAAACAAAGCAGTTCCCCTTCCAAACAATGTTCTGCACATATCACTCAAAAATAGGTCCTGTTATTCCCAAATCAAAATGCCTCCTGATGCAGAATGAGGACACTTTAGGTATCACGTAGTTTGGGACATGTATCGGGTAGGAATGTTTTTTTTTCTGAACTTGAAGCTTGCCTGTATTCTTTGAGTCATGAGTTAAATTCAGTGTGGGCAAGATTTATGATTCCTAAGGGTCTGATTTGACAACTGAACCCTCTGTGTAACACAGGAGTAAATCAGAGTCTCTTTCTACCATGTGTCCTAACCCATGCCCCCAACATGTCTGCCATGAATCTCATGTTCATGATCCCCTTTCTAATGTTTGCAATTTAATGCATGTGCCTACATACACTCACATCTCATTCCATGCATGAGTACCATATATTTGACTGTTTTTGAGCTTTATAAAAATAACAGGATGCATGTTCTTCTGCAACGTGCACCTTTTGATTGGTATTGTATTTGAGAGTTACCCAATTCCTCCACGTTTACATACATAACTGTAGTTCATTTCCTCTCTTTGCACATTATCCCATTGTATGAATATATTTTATAGATATTTATAGATATTACATATTATATAACTCATTAATTCTTCTAGAGATGTCACTGTGTTTCTTTTAGATTTAAATATCTAATTATTGTTCTAATTACTGTTCTATCTCTTCATTTCCAGATACTGGTACAACTTATGTATCAAGAGAGTACATTTTTTTGATGTAACACAGCTACAGCTTTTATCAAAGATATTTTTCTTTGCTCTGTTGTGAATTCTTGGAGGTTTATACTTCACTGCTGGGGGAAGGAAACGTCAAGTTTCCAGGCAACTGGGATATATAGAGAACTAACTCAGCTTCTAGATGAGTCCTTTAGACATCACTGCAAGCATGGCACCCAAGTTGTAAAAAATCATGTTGTGTAGGTTTAAGGGGGGAGAAATAAATATTTCAGAGTTTTTCTCTGTGTGCATGTGCTTCACAGGAGAATAAAAACAGTTTTACATGTCAATAAATGTCTTGAACTGGGGAAATCCTTTGGTAATTCTAGCCACCTGTTGTGTGTCTTACAACATGTTCTAAGGAAAAGCCAGTTCAGTGGAAACAAGGAAATCATCTTCTCCAGGATTATCCTTCATAAGCTTTTAAATGTATATGAAAACAAATTTACATCTGTATACCTAAAGCAAAGCATATAGCTTAAGAAAATTCCAGTTCCACAACTTATTTGCCTGCTTACTTGAAGGCACTCTTGTTACTTTTCTCTCCTCTTCCTTCCACTGGGACTTAAGCGTGTTCATCTCCTGCTTCTTAGGATTCCAATATATGTGTAACGGAATTAATAGAATTAATATACCAATATGCCATCTATTATTTATCATATAACTAATATAATTAAAAATCATAGCAGCTAAGTTGTATGACATGAAAAACTAGCCTTAGAAAAATCTATGGCTGGTTTAAAAAAAAACAAAACAAAACATCTTGAGTGTGTCAAAAGAGTCTAACATATTCTTACTACTTGTCTCCCAGAATCCCCATGGTGCTCTGAAACACTGCCAAGGGAACGGGTTCCTGTGGTGTGCTTCCTCACTGTTTCCATTTGTACGTATTACAAAACTCATAAAGCAGCACCACTAATGCACCCATTTGCAACTGAAACTGGTTACAAACAGCAGCTTCTTTTAGGTAGTGCTTGAAATTTACAGTAATGGGGTAATCACAAAAGTCTGTCAGAAATTCATCTTAAATGGATAAATGTATCATTCCATGATAGCAAAGGATTAGCAGTGTAATAAAGAAAAAACAAATCCAGATTGTCAGGACAAAAAAATCTCCCTGTGACCTACTGAATCATTTCTATCCATGAGGATTTTCAATTTCCCTGATTTTTTAGTAAATGTTAAGAAATAAAACAGCAAATAGTAAAGCTCCAACACTTTAAACACAAACCACAAAATGTTAAGGTTCCTTAGCCTCTAACATTGGAAAATTCAAAATACAGTCTTAAGTGTAACTGTGGCCAGTCAGGTCTTTTCTTGATGTGTGTAAGAGGCAGGCACCTGACATTTCTCTGTATCCCAGGCTTTCTGCTCTCAGTCAGGAAAAAAAGAAAAAAAAAAAAGGTATGATACAAGCACAAATAATGCTGTCTTCACTTTGTGTGACAGGTCATTGGTGTAAACACTGACATATTCTTGATTCAAAATCAGTCCAGAGAGGATTATCGAAAAGGTGATCCAACGAGATTTATAATCTTTCACCTATTCTATCCACTGAGGCTCTGTACATCTCTCTTTACTATCTCAGTATGACCTATAAAGTCCCAGAGTCAGTCATATTTGTTAAATTAGAAGAAAAAACTTACTCACATTTTAAAAAACTATTTAGCATTTTTATTTACTTTTTAAATTATCTCTATGCCCAACATGGGGCTTGAACTCAGGACGCTGAGATCAAGAGTCACATGCTCTACCAATGGAGCCAGCCAGGTGCCCCTAAACTAACATTTCAAAGAACAATTATAAAAATGAAAACTGCTGTATAAATCCCCTTCTACCGGCATTTCCTTTCCTATTGCTTACTATGCTTAGTACGTACAAATTCCTCTTAAGCATCCCTTAAGATGAAGCAAAATAAGTTCTATTAGTCATAGGGCAAGGACACTTAAACACAAAAGTGATGATGACTTCACTGCTGAAAGAAGTGAAAGGTATTTTTTAGAGTATTAGAGTGTTCATCCACACAAATCCTCATTTTCCAATTTACTTAATTTATTATTTCACTTTTAAATATAAGTTAAAAGACTTATAATACTGATAACTGAAAAAAATATAAAGGGATAAATTAGGATTTTTCAGTCCTATCCCTGGGTTCACCCCCTATTTATCCCTTCCCCTGTAATTTACCCCTGCTAATAGTTTCTCAGTATCCATTCAACATTTCTTTATGAAGACACAATAAAACATGAGTGTATTTATACCTTTGTTGTCCTCAGAGTGCTAAGCAACTTGTCTAAGGACACTGAGACTTGTAAGTTTCCTAGTGGGATTCACACTTGGGCCATCTCATTTCAAAGCCCAGGTGTTTCAAGAGAGCAATATTACTGCTCCTAATCACTAGAGGGAGGTTGGGGGGGGGGGGGGGGGGGTTGAGTTTTCTTTTCCTGTTGAGAATTTTTTAAGCGACCTTAGTCTACAATTTCTGAATTATAGAAATTATGGAAATCTTCCCATTTATGCAGACATATCAGCGGCACCTTGCACCATGGTTATTAAATTACAGAACAGAGGCTATTTTCTGATCTTCAGAGTTACAGTTTTTCTTCCTCCGGCATCATTTTTGGGAGATCCATTCTTAAATATTTCTCTCTCAAGACCCTGTGCGTGTGCATCTCCAGGGGTGGCTGATGCACCCCAGGACCCCGCCCCACTGTGTATCACCCTCATGCTGCCGGGGCTTACCGTTCCTTTGCTGATGATAAAGAAGGTGTCCCCTCTTGCACCTTGTCTGATGATATATTCCCCATTCTCATAGTGAGTCTGAAAAATAGAAACAGCAACAGAAAAAAAAAAAAAAACATTAAGAAAGGAGTAATATAACAAAAGCTCAATCTCTTCAAGTATCAGCCCTGCAGGGATGCATTCATCCTGATGGAGTTTTACCCAAGCCCAGAATCCATTATGATTTAAGAGTGAGTAATAGTCAATGAACGAAATAATTACAGAGAAATCATTTTTATCACACTCATGTTTAAAACTATTTTGTTACTGCCATTTTTTCTGGATGATTATATTCAGATCTTTACATTGATTCATTTTAATAGTTGGGTAAAAATATTCTTTTCTCCCATCAACTGAGCATAACCTAAAACAGCAGAACGCTAATTAAACTGGTCTTTTAATAATATTTTATTTGTCATTTTCATTTTGTTTCAGTATTCTTGTAATGATTGATAGGCTTTTTTTTTTTTTCCTTGAGAAATTATTGTGGCAACTCAAGATCTTAATTTTGAAACCAGGATGATTTCTGGTGTGCGTTAGATGGCCCTAGTTACTTTCTAAGGCACAGCTTCATGCTTTAACGTTCTTGTTTCAGCAATTTAGATTTGGCCCTGTCAGACGGAATGTCTTCATTTTATGGACTGAATTCTGGTCCAGCATCTGCGAGCTCATCAACTAGCAAATGAGAAGCAAGGGAAGGCTGCAAGAGGATGATCGCAGTCAGTGCTAGGATGTGGACACAGTCACTAGGTCCATTCCCAGGGTAAAGATTACTTCTGCAATGAACAAAAGTAATTTCTCTAAGGCGACGTGGGGAAAAAAAAGTATATTGCTGGGTCAGAAGATATAACAGAAAAATGAGACTGCGCCATCTGGCCACATTCTTCTCTGCAGCTTAGCAAGGGAACCATTTTGGGGGAAAGAAAACATTACTTTACACATTCCTTAGGAAACAGATTTCATGGTTTGCATGTGGCAGTTACGAGGCTAACAGCTGTGATTTGTCCTTATACTTCAATACCATGTTCCTTAATACTGTTGTCTATTCACTGTTGACATTGCCTTTTGTTAGCACTTGACACTGAGAACAACAATCTCTTTCTTTGCATATCTAGAAAATTAACATGCTACCTAATCTTACCTTTTTTTTTATTCAAAACAAGTTTTCAAACTAGGATTATAGAATGCATATTCTTCAACTGATTTATTTCACTTAACAAGATACCCATGCTCCCCTGTCACTTCTTGCTATTTGGGAAAGGAAAGATCTTTAGTACATGCAGGTGTGAAAAGCAACGATCACAAGAGTCTTCTTTCCTGTATCAGTTCCACAAACATCTCTGTGTGCCTCTGAGTCAGGCCTGGCTGTAGGCACTGATGATACAAAGACGAGATGCAAAAATCTCAAAGTAGCACCATCCACTGGATCTTTCTCTGAGGGTGGCAATGGTCGATAGCCACACCGTCCAATACAGCAGCCTCTAGCCACATGTGGCTACTGAACAGTAAAATGTGGCCAGTGTGATTAAGACATCACACATTTAGCTCGTGGCCAGCAGCTACTGTATTAGCATAGGTAGTAATAAGGCAGACAAGGGAGGAGTTACAATCTGTACTAGTAGGGTAGGGGGGCAGGCTGGAGCATCTTTCCCCACTCTCCATAAATGGAGCCCCCCTGTTAGTAAAATTCAGGACCTCTCTCTTCCCTTCCCCACTCTGCACACCAGAGGAGGTGGTATGACTTACCTGGCTGGTGCACTTGGAAGCCATCAGCTAGGTATGGTCGCCTTAGCCCCTAGTCTCTGTTGTGGGGGTGAGCTCCCCACAGAGGCAGACATTCTCTGCGGCTTCTCCAGGGGAAGCAGAATGAAGCTGCCTCTGTTGGGCCTTTGCCCCAGGGCAAGTATGTCCACCCAAATGCAGGCCCAGTTTGGGAAGGCTGTTTGGCTCTGACACCTAAGCCACATTCCCTAGCCTTGATTTTTTATCATTAGTAACAACAATATTATATTAGTTCCATTTACCTTAGTCTTTGTCATATTTCTCACTTGTTTCCTAATCCTAAACCTCTCAAAACCCCCCAAATAATCAAGTGTGCAAGCTATGTTTTCTGTTGGTAGGGCTTATGTACTGTCTGTTGTATTGTCTCACTCCTTCCCCAGGGCTTCCCCATGGAGGAGATTCTTCAGCCCCAACAGAAGTATGAGGAACAAGTTACAGGATGTTGAGCAGGAGAAAGGCTCTCCGAAAAGAGGAGAATTAGCAGCTTACTATGCCCACATATTAGCAGCAGAAATACTACTATTTTGGAAAAAGAAAAATACAAATAAAAAAACACCCAACATGGAAGAATCCTGAGCTCATCTGAATGGCTCATTCTTCTGACTTCTCTCCTTAAAAGCATATTCCTACCCAAAGACTGTCATTTCCTTTTAAAAAGCCAAAATTATTTGTACTATATTAAAAAGTATGAGAGTAAGGGTTTCTCAGGCACACCACCAAGGACATTTTGATGCAGACAATTCTCTGCTGCTGGGAGCTGTCCTGGACATTCAGTTCAGCTGTAGGATGTTTAGTGGCTTCCGTGGCCTCTACCCACTCGATGCCAGTAGCCCTTCCAGTCCCAGTTGTGGCAACCAAAAGTGTCATAAGACATTGTCAATTAACCTGTAAGGGGCAAAACTGCTCCCAATTGAGAATGTTTGCCATAAATCTTTTGTGGTTTTCTGGACGTGAAATAGCAATTTATTATTTCTCTTGATACTGTGTGCTAGATGATTCTGACTTCCCACAGTGTCAGCTTGGATCAGTGGAAAGTCTAATGCCTCACTCTTGGGGTGAGCATTTGGTGCTGGTCTCACACCCGTGACTGTCAGCTTCTATGCTCCTCCACATGGGCCTCCCCCTGGGGCTGCTCAGTCTCCTCCACAGCAAGGTGGTCTGGGGGAGAGCCACCCTCTTACACGGCAGCTGGCTTCCAAGGGTGCAGAAGCAGAAGGTGCCAGGCTTTCCCAAGGCTCAGACTGTGCCCATGGGCACTGAAGCCCCACAAAGGATGCAAGGTACTAACAGCTACTGCTCTTTTGCTTCGCGGACCTTGCCGCCTGCCTCCTTCCCTTGCATTATGCCTATTCTCTTCACACCCCTTTTCCTGATGTTCCTTGAACACCCAGACCCGTCTCAGGGCCTCTGCACAGGCTCTGCCCAGTGCCTGAGATGTCCCTGCACCCCAGAGAGCTCAGAAGGAGCTATCTCAGGACAGGAAGGTTCACAGAGGGCTGAATGACAGGAGCATGGGCATCAAGGAAGGCTGAAGGTAAAGCAGGATTATCAGATTCTGCTGAGAGCTGGGGCCATGGCTTCTGAGAAGGAAGGATCCACTGCCAACCCCAGCCTAGTTCAGAGAGAGCCTGACCTCTCTCTTCTCTACCCTCTGGTATCCCACTGGGGCTCCCCATTGGCTGAGTTCAGCTGAAAGGGGACAGGGGAGTCCTCCCATTCAGGTCAGCTTCTGGACAGAAAGGAGGACCCAGGAAAAGTGAAAAGCAGGCCTGGGGGCAGGTGGACTGCATCAGCCCCATGGTTAACAGATCATTCACTCACTTCTCAATCATCTCCTCCACTAGAACGTCAGCTCCACGAAGAAATTTTTATGTTCCCTGTTGTTCCCCTGCCCTGAGAAGAGCACCTGGGTGTTCTCTAAACATTCATCAAGTAAATGGCTTACATGGTAAAGGACATTGAGTGCCCCGCAGAGCAAGGGCTCTCTGCAGGTTTGCCCTCAGGAGATGGGTCCGCTGCTCTAGGCATCACAGCGGGGTCAGAGGCAGAGAAGGGCAGCCTCTCATCTTACAGCACCTTCTGGGGAAGGAGTGCCAAAAGCCCTGGCAACTGTCCCCATAGGTCTCCTTTGAGTCGTGTGTCCACTCTTAAACGAATGCCTGGCAAGACGAATTTGGAATACTCCAAATGGTTTTCATTTCTCAAGATCACTCCATGGTGCCAGCAAGAAAACCGCTCAAAGGAAACCAAACCTCCAGCAGCGGGAAAATGGGAAGGAAGGACTGCAGAGGCACCCAAGAGCGTATCTACTTCATGGACTGACCCAAGAGTCTCCGGGGTCAGGACCGAGACCTGGGTGGGTGTGGAAGAAGGGCGGATAAAAGTGGGGTGCTAGACTGTGGAAAGGGAAGACTCAAGTCATGCTAGCGGTCTTCACAGCCCCACTGAGCTGTGGGAAAGTAGAGGGAGGCAGCCTCCTGGGAGACCATTCAGAGCAAGTAGGAAGAGATTCAGGGTTTCAGTGGGCACCTCAGGGTCAGGAGGCACAGCTTCGAGGTGGACTTGCGGGCAGGATGCCCCATTCCCAGAGCACACACCAGCAGAGGCGGGGTGAGCATGGGCCAAGCCATTGCAGAAGAGACGGAGGGTGGTGTCCAAGGATGCCCAAGGGGGAACTTTAGGGCATCTCCCAGCCTTGAGATGCCGTGATTCTCTGACAGGTTGTATTTCCCAAACATGGCCACCAGAGAGTTTCACTCCACAAGCTCTCCTGCGTGATGGCTTGGCCGTTCTCCCATTAAGAGCTGGAGACTACCTTCCCTCCCCTTGAAACCAGGGGCCTCAGCAGCTCTTCTGTGACAACAGCTGGCTTGGAAGCGATCTGCATGACTTCCGAGGTCATCTTAGAAAAGGCCTTCTAGAGGTGCCTGGGTGGCTCAGTTGTGAAGTGTCTGCTTTTGGCCCAGGTCATGATCCCGGGGTCCTGGGATCAAGCCCCGCATTGGGCTCCCTGCTCCAGGGGAAGCCTGCTTCTCCCTCTCCCACTCCCTCTGCTTGTGTTCCCTCTCTCACTGTGTCTCTCTCTGTCAAAAAAATAAAATCTTAAAAAAAAAAAAAAAAAAAGAAAAGGCCTTCCAGCTTCCACTGGTTCTCAGGAGTCTCTGTCCTGGAACCCAGCAGCACGCTTGAGAAGCCTGAGCTGCACCTGGGGGCGACGTGCAGGGGATCCGGTTGATGGAGCCACCCACACGCAGCCT